GACCAAGGTATTGATGAGGCCCCAGACGAACGGTATCCAGGTAGACATCCTAAAGTATCCGGCGTTGTAGACTGCTCCAATTCTAGGAGCGTAATCAACGCCCGCTCTATCATGAGAAAGACGAGCGCAAACTTACAACCCGCCAACAATGCTCCCAGCTATGACAGCTTCGATTCCCCCGATGATGATATAGATTAGGGGTGCTATCCAGATGACCTTCCAATTCTTCCATTGTACAGCCATTGCATACCCGCTTGTAGCGATGTGAACTGCGCCGAAATCAAGAAGCGTCCACACAAGGGTGAAGCGCCAGATGTCGCCGGCATTGTAGAGGTAGTTGGCTTGGGTGCCGCTGATGGGGAACGGCCAGTATAAGGCCGGAAATGGAGGTGGGACGTAGTCGAGGGGTGCAGGACTTCTAAGGCGTGGAATGAAGCTATACAGTCGCGTTAGTTGTGGATTGGGCGATCAAATTGCACGGCATACCTCATTTCATCACGCAGAACAAGCAGGAGCACTGCCGGCGATGGCAGAAAGTCTAGGAGTGTAAGCAATGCTGAAGCTCCTGTCTCCGTTATGGCTGAAAGTGGCAAGGATCGCGAGCCGAGGTTGGCGGGTTGCGGAAACGCGTTCTCACATGAGCTCCGGACTTGATGTCTACAAACATATCTCGATACATACACAGCAAATACTGTAACAACATGCCGGCAGACAGGCTTCTGGGTGTGCTGCTACGTTCGCTGCAGACACACACAGAGCAGCAGGACACGCCTCAGTACACTTCTTTATGAATCCGCATCATCGATCCCGTCCGCTAATACCATCACAGGCTACTCTCGACTGCTGCGTCGCTTCTTACGTCTCTGTCAAATCCACTAAACATTACTCTACTCACTCGAGAGCTTCTTCTAGCACCTGCGCTATGGGACCGGCCCGACGGACTGCGCACGTGTCTGCGCTTCATGGGCGTGTTTCACTCCGCATCCGTGACTGTTATCAACCGTGAAAACGAGCAACACGAGGAGAAGCAGCCGCATTTCCAGCCCGCAGGACCCGAAACTGGTGTCCACATTCCCAAGGAGGAGTGGATACGGGCTGTGGTCAAGGGCGCCGACGAACGTTCTCACCGTTGGAAGCACTTGATGGTCCTAGGGGGCTTGTTGTTAGGGTGTAACAATCCAGATCATGAGCCTCTACCGCGGCCTCTCAAGCGGACGCTGGAGGCCGCACTTGTCCAAGCAGCAAACCTAGCACTTGAAGATCAGCGGCATGGCGATGAATTCGCTGGTTGCTGTATCACATTGGTCCTAAACCACACTTTCGGCATTCTTTCAGATGTGGAACGCGCCCAACTCAACTATGACCAGCTGCTGCCGGTGCTGATAGGGTCAGCCTTCTTCTCGCCCGAAGGCTTTCAATCAGCCTACTTCTTAGGCGCCGTGGATCTCGACGTAGTGGAAGTCCCGAACAGAAAATTCAGCTGGCCGGCCAAATCTTCATCTTACCATCAGATTGACCGATTGCTGCAAAGGCCTCTCATATTTTCTCTGGGTCCCCTCTCAAGAATTATTGCCCATGCAGTGGAAAACGCACAAGACTCATGGCTGATACGGACTGTCATCGATGATCTGATGGGCTTTAGCCGGTCCCTGCTGACACAATGGCGGCAGAACAAGCTGTCAGAAATAGACGCTTCGGAAGAAAGGCTGTACCTGGATGACGAGACTACCCGGACTACCCTACCATCTCTCTGGAAGCTTCTAAAGGCTGCCCTCTTCGCAATCGTCATTGTCTTGCGTGGCGCAGTTGGAAGGCTCGTCAGTGACAGGTCCCTTGCAAATGATTCCGCGGCCCCATTGCTAGCCTCGCAGGTCCTTCATACTCTCCGCAACTCTTACTTTGTGTCTACTCGATTGGGTGCCAACTCTTTCTCGCAATATACATTCGTATATCTTACCACCCTCGACGTGCTTTCCAATTATCCTACCGAAGCGGAGGCTTTCGTCCAAGGAATTCGTCCCGTCAGACTGGGAGAAATACCTGGACATCCGATCGACCGATGTCTGGATCTCTATTTCCTCAATACAGCCGAACATTTCACACTCAAGCTAACACCCAGCACCAACGAAACTCTGCTCATTGCGGCCGCAACACCCTATCTCGTCACAGGCGGCAACCAAAACCTAGCCCAGGTATTCGAAGCCGCACACAGCGTGATGCTCTCTGTCTTCTCCGCGCCACAATGCGCCGACATCGCCGCAAAGCATCTCCCCTACTACGTCAACTCGCTCTTCTTCTCCTTTCCCCACAATCTTTCTCCTCGCCAGTTCCGCCTCGCGTTCAAGACGCTCCTCCAAGTCACCGCGCCACCCTCGCCGCTCTCAGGGTCACAACCAGAGCTCCCCGCAATCCTACTTGAAATGGTGCATCATCGCGCTCAAACTGCCTCTACCGCCCCACTTACAACCGGCCTAGGCTCTCCAGCCCCGCAGTCACATGTTGAAGCAGACGATAACCTTCCACCACTCTCCGAACAAGCAGTCCTCAAACTCACCCTCCTCGACGCCCTCCCCTTCCTACCTTTAGAGCTACTGGAAGAGTGGCTCCCCATCTGCGCTGACCTCATCAACACGATTGGCGACGTAAGCGCGAGGGAAGCGTGTAAGCGTCGTTTCTGGGAGATTCTGGCCGGTGGGGAGATGGATGCTGAGAGGAGTCAGATATGCGTTGCTTGGTGGAATACGAGGGGTGGAAGGGAGACGGTTTTGTTTGGGCGGGAGGTGGGGAAGGAAGAGTACATGATGAGTGGAGCGTTGAATTTAACTGAGACGGCTGCTAAGCTATGAACGTAGTTATGCTAGGTACATGGTTCGCTTTTGAAGCGCGGTGGAAAGAGATGTGCTGATGGTCTCGTTGGGTGGATGAGACTTGGGTGGCCAGAAACATGGTATCCGATGCCCCGACGATAAGATACCGGAGCCTTTTTCAAACATGCTGCGCCGACACACGCCAGAGTCGGGTCACAATCTGGATCTTGAGGCCGCCAAGGAGCTCTCACTAAAATATCCGCCTTTTCAGCTTCGCCAAGCAAGCGCCAATACTGGATGTACTCGCCGAACGACTTCTGCAAATTTTGCTCCCCAAAAACTCGAACGATCCGCGTGGCCGCCAAGTATTTTCAACGACTCAATTCTTTCCACCACGGTTTCTACCCTTCATCCTGGCCACCTCTGCCAAAGGCTTTGTGACAACTTCCTCGAGGACATCGGCAACCTCGTCACAAGTCTTTTCATGTCGGGCCGCAAAGTCAACCCAATCGAATGATTTGGCGACATCGTCCGCCAGGGAGAAGAGATCGTCCGCAGACCACGTGTCCGTCGCTTTCACTGACGCGTGTTCTGCGACGATCTTCTGCTGCTCCTGCTCTTGACGTTTGGTGGATGATGACGAGGGAATGGTGGAGGGTGAGGCAGGAGCGTACCACTCATCCATACCATCACCGTCACCGTCGCTTGCTCCATCAGGAGCCATGCTCCTAGCAGTCCGAGGCTCAACAGGACCAGCGTCTTCGATCACAGGCTCGGCGTCTTGGATCTCGATATGCGCATTCGCCGCTTTATTGAACTCGTCAAACGACTTGAAGATGCTTGGTGTACGGAACCCGTTCTCCTTGTTCCTCACACTCGGCGCCCACGGCGTAGCAGGCGGCTCCCGCATCATCTGTCTCGGGGGAGTCATGTACGGATTCCTGGGGGTGAAAGGCGCGTGCTTGGTGGAGAAGATGGCCTGCCATTCCGCAGATGACGGTTCACGGTCTTTGCGGGAGGTGGGTTGTTTGCGAATTTTGGGCGTGCTGGGCGTCTTTGGAGTCGAAGGGGAACGCGAAGCGAGGCTGCGGTGGCGGTTGTGTAGCTCTGGAACTTGCGCGTAGCGAGGGTTGCGTTGGGAGGTTTGGGTACGGTCGGTGAGGGTGTGTTCGTCGGGCTCGTCGTCGCCAAATGTCAAGTTTGGTGGGTATATGGAACCAGTCGAGGCGGTCGAGGAGCGAGAAGCCTGAGATCCCTCACGGGCTTTGCCGACGTCGACTCTGAGTCGCTTTCGCTGTTCTGATTGACGCGCAATACGTCGCTCTCGCGCCGCTGCTACGAGCTCGGCTGAGACCTCCTGGGGCGTAAGATCCTTCGGCTTGATAGATTGGAACATGGAGCCAGACCGCTTCTGAGGCGGGTGCATGGGCGAGGTAGCGGTTCCTTCGTCGTCGGTGTCGAGTACGATCGTGTCGGTCGATTCGATGGTGTGTACAGATCGCTGTGGTTGGAGGAGTGTCAGTGATCTAACGGGGTGTTTTGAGGTTGGATGTTGTCTCTCACCTTCCTCGACGATGGCGGCGTGAGCAAAGAGTCGGCTCTCTGCCTCGATGGATGGTCGTCGCCATCATCCAAGGTCAGATCTACGCTGTCTGACATGTTGATAATGAGCAATTATTCATGTACGAGCGATGAGTTGAAGCAGATGCACAGGAGGGTTGAGGTCAGAGGAGAGATCCAAGATGAGAGCGATAAAGGCCATATCGGGAGTGTGAGGTAGTGTGAGCAACCAAGGGTCTCGTGATATGGTTTGGTGAAAGTTCTTGATTTCACTTGAGCATACTATCTCATTTTACAGATTCTGGGAGACCGGCTCTTAACGTTGCTTCCTGAGGTGCCCAAGTGAATCGCCACGATAAGTCAATGCAATAACGATACGCAATCGTCAAGCCACATATGCGTCGTCGCCCAAATGATCCGAGGAGGTACTCCTTCTCTATGCCCTAGCGTCAAAAGAGAATTCCGCTGCAGTTGTTGCACTCTCGTCAGTCTTTGGGAGCTGAAGCACAAAGTGAGTCGCTTTCCCAAGCTCAAGCAGTGTTTGCGGACCAAGAGCGACCAGTTATCGTGGAAGACTCTCATGCTGGAGCAATATCGAGGGTTGCAAAAAGCAAATCGCCCGAAGGCGGGACTTGAACCCGACCCGATTTGAACGGATGACCTTCTGGAATCTCCACGCCAGCGTAGCTGGAATCAGACTAAATACCAGGAATGAGTATATTACACGACACTCCACTTAGGACAGAAATAACATACCGCGCTACCATTGCGCCACGGGTCCATGGTGCTGAATTGTTGTTTGTCTAATTATTAATCGTGTTCTTGAGAGCCCAACGGAGTAGTATGTGAGGTCTGCGCTAATGTTGGTGGATATTGATTTTGTGGGTGATGGGAGTGGGGCAAAGGCACCTAAATATTGGTGGCTTAGCCCTGAGGTCCTAGGCGCCTTTAGCTTTAGCGCAGGGTCCAAGGTGAGGAGCTCACTTGTATCACAGTCATGTCCACGCTTCTTCGTAAAATCTATACTGGTTGACTCGCCGACTTCCAAATATGTTTCGCGAACGAACAGTCTTTTTCTCACCTCGCTGACAGGTGGAGAGTTTGATGAGGCCTGCATGGTCCATACAGCGTGTCACCGCCATGTCCGCCACGATCAAGCCAGAGGTGGACTGTTGCAAGCGGTCTCAGGGCTACAACGAATAATCTTTGGCGGCCCTGTATTACCTGCTATCATCGAAGTATACGCAAGTGCATCTAGCGAACGCATTTGAGCGCCATCGAAGCGTTACATGGTAGCATCTCATGATGCCTCGAAGCTTTAATGAGCGCCCGTATTGCTCAGACTTTGCGCCCATCCTGCGCACTTTCTCTTCGCCCGCTAGGAGCTACCGCACGCGTGCTGGCAGTCGCGTATGCTGCAATGACATCGAGCACCATAATAGCGCTTGTTTTCTGCAGGCCTCATTGAATTAGGGCTTCGAGCTGAAAGCTTACTGTTGACTCATCCAGCCGCAAGAGCCTCATCTTTGCGATTGCTCGTCTCTCGTTGGCGCACACACCACGCTCGATGTACTGCACGTCTAATATGTAATTTGGTGTAGCCTGACAGTAAATCTGTATACACTAGGTATCCTCCGATGTAAGAGCCGCACGAAAAGAAGTGTTACAAACAAGGTATATAATCCCAAGATTGCATCACGGCGTCCAAATCTTCAAACCCCTCTATCTTCGACAGCCTGATAGTCCAACGTTACTTCCGCAGTCCTCATCTTATTGCTCATGCATCTGAGAACTTATCGCTTTCTTCCACCTCTATATCTTTCCACATCTCGACAAGATGGTTAGCAGAGGCCTTTACGTCTACGCTTACATTGCTCCTTCTATACAGAACTGTTATGTGCGTTTCACAGTCCCCAAAGACGGCAAGGATCAGACTTCCACCGGCTTTTGGTCCAATGATCATCTTGAAGTTGAGTCCGGCAACATTGGTGGCTGGTTCGATTACACTGGTCGCTTCGACTTTGCCGTCTTTCACAACGGCAACCAGATTGCGTATGAGTACAATGACATCAACAGCAGATCGGGCAACCTCGAAGGCGGTTCCATGACATCCATTCGGAATACGAGGTGTATCCGCAATGATGGTCTGATCATTACTTACGGCTTCTACGATGCCGGATCAGGCGTGGCCGGATTCGCCAACAAAGACCAGTGCTGAGTTGCCGTTTCCCCAGATCTAAGCGACTGGAAGGGCAGCGTTGCTCCAAGAAGCTCGTCTCAATCCACGAAGCCCTCCACTCGCTTCGTTCTTCCGTGTCCCCATGATTGTGGTATGAACAGCATGGAAAGCACAGACCTTGCGCTCCAGGGCGCAGCCACAGGCTTCATTGCACAGGGACTCCAGATGATGCCTATCGTAGGGGGCATCATGAGTGGCCTTCTTAGCCTCGGCCTGACGTCGAGCCTCGTCTTCAACATCATTATGGGTTGGCGATCAAACAAAAGGAGTCCCTCGAGGACATGCTCGCGATCGGCGCGCGCTACTTTGAGTTCCGGCCCGGACGTTTCCCACCAGGCGTCCGCGCGGCAACGTCCCTGGGCGGCCACTTCTACTACATGCACGCCTGCATCCCTGGTATCCGTTACGACGAGTTCCTAGCGCGTACGCTCGTTTTCCTGCAGCAGCACCCCAACGAGATCGTCGTGGTCCAGCTACGTGGCGACGGCATCCTCGGCCAAATCGAGCAGCCATCCCAGCAGGATAAGGACCGGATCTTGGCAGACGAAGTGCAGCGACTCGGCGGCGGCATCACCGTCGGCAATTTCAGCGACATGCAGAGTATGACGATCGACCAACTCCGCGAGTAAGGCAGGCGCCTCATCGTTCTAGATGGCGTGGATCAGTACAGCAGCTACGATGACAATGCGTACAGCACTCTCGACGGCGATACCATCGTCAAGGCGCGGAACGGCATGAGCGCTGAAAAGCAGCGTGGAAAGGCGTTCACGCTCCTGCAGTGTCAGGCCACGGCGACGAACTAGGGGGGACGCGCTGAGGTACAGTATCGTGTCGAGTAATGCGAGCACGTCGCTGTTGATGTCTAGCAAGGCAGTCTGTGATATGGAGACGCATCCGTGGCTGTGGGATAACGTGAGAAAAATTCACGGAGGAACAGTTGGTGGTGCTGATGAATGATTTCTTTGATGGTGCGACGGCGGATCTGGCAAGGGGGTTGAGTGAGGAGAGACTGAAGAAGTAGAGAGATATAGGGTTGCCATGAAGAATGATTCTTCTAGATGGTATATCCGTTCGTCAAGAAGACTATTGCGCTGTTGCGTTCACTTTCACTATCTGTTCCACGCTACAGCGCCCTCGCCAGAATCAGAGGAGCAACAAACACCAGTGCAACATTCATGACTAAGCACCCCAGCCTGTCGTCATTTTTGGACCCCGTATCGAGACGACTCTCCACCCAAACCAAGCTCACCAATGATCCAACGTTGAGCTTCAGATTCCTAGTCCCAAGGTCTTTCCACGGGCCTTTTACATACCAGCACTACGTCATACCCTTGCACCCCCCTCACGTGCCATGGTACCACCATACTCAAAAACCAGCTTCCATGTCGCTGCTCACAAAGACTCTTTTCTACTTCTCTGCAACTCCATCTTCCAGACTTTTACTTTATTTCTAAATAATCTTAAGGGTCTTTCAAACCATCCAACATGACCGAAGGCATGAAAGATGCCATGAAGGGCGAAGGCGGTAAGTCATGGCTCCTTATTTCCCACCGCTCTATACCACCTCTTCCCCTTTCCTGTCCCTTTCCGTATCCCTTTTGCTTTCCTTTCCCCTCTTTCGCCTCCTCCCTCTTTCTTTTCTCTGCGAACTCTTCCTTTGCAGATAGATCCCCTAGTCTCAGTCCACCCTCTACCACTACCCTACCCTGTCCCCATCCTGCCCTACATCCTGCCCTACATCCTGCCCCCCATCCCAACCCAACCGTCCGCACCAACGACCGATAGACACAACGCAAATATCT